ACTCCCCCTCCCCCCCCACCACCGCCACCACTTTCTATGTGGCCGAGGCCCCCACTGTCGGCAAACTTTCTGCCTCGTACCGGGTTGATCCTCGTGAAGTAGATGTAGGAGTATATGAGGCCCAGGATGGCACATAGAACCATTAAGACTATTAATATTATGGCCCCTATGAACATTGTCGGCTGGTTTGTCGCCGTTGTCGTTGCTGCAGCTGTGATGTTGTGGCCGGTGTGGCTAGTGATGTTGTGGCCGATGTTGCTGGTGGTGCTGGTGGTGTTGATGATGATGTTGTTGGTGGTGTTGATGATGATGTGGTTGGTGTTGTTGGTGGTGATGTTGCTGGTGGTGTTGATGGTGATGTCGGTGGAAAACGTGGGTGAGGGGAAAGGTGTTGATGTTATGAGGTCTGCAATTTTGATGGTCTTGTCTGCCCGAATTTTGATTGGTTGTTGCTGTTGTTGTTGTTGGTGGTGGTGGTGTTGTTGTTATTGTTGTTGTTGTTGATGCTAATGATTATAAGGCCAATGTTGTTGTTGTTCTTGACGAAGATGTTGTTGTATCTGGCGATGATGACGACGACGAAGATGTGATGTCGATTATGGTAAGAATAATAGAATATTGTTGAGAGCGATGTTTGTTTGTTTGTTTGTATGTATTTATGTTGGTATGTATGTATGTATGTATGTATGTATGTATGTATGTATGTATGTTTGTTTGTTTGTTTGTTTGTTTGGGTGTTTGGGTGTTTGTTTGGGTGTTTGTATGTTGTTTATTAGCGATAATAATGTGTTGCTCTTTGTTTTTATTATATCTTTGAAGTTGATCCTTGTTTTTCTGCCAATGCTACGAATATATATTATCGTTGTTGTTGTTGTTGTATTAGTAGGTTAATCTACATGATAAAGAGTTTATTTTGTTCACATTGTTAATGTTGTTGTTGTCGTTGTTCCGGTTGATGTTGCAGATGTTGTAGCTGATGTTGTTGTTGTTGTTGTTGTTCCGGTTGTTGTTGATGTTATACTGTTGGCGTCATAATTGTCTTGTTGATGCCATTAACGTTAATGATTTCATTATTATTATTATTATTATTATTATTATTATTATTATTATTATCTGAAATGATAATAATACAATACAATACAATACAATGCAATACAATACAATACAATACAATATACAATACAATACAATGCAATATAAAACAATACAATAAAATACAATACAATGCAATACAATACAATACAATGTAGGATTTTTTAGGATTTTTTTCGAATTTCAAGTTCAAAATAATAATAATAATAATAACTATTATTATTATTATCATCATCATTATCATTTTACGTATTGAAAGACGATATTGAAGAGAAAAAGCAAACAAACCGTCACAGATAGAGATTTCGGAATTATGATAATAATAATAATCATCGTCATATACATATATATATATATATATATATATATATATATATTATATATTTATATATATATATATGAATTTATATATATATATATATATATATATCTATATCTATATATATTATTGTTATTATTATTTTATATAATATCCACAACAGCAACAATAACATCAACAACAACAATACATACATACATACATATATATATATATATATATATATATATATATATATATACGTTATTTATAATTATATACAAAGAAATTTAATAAAACCCCACTGATAAAATATTGACCATAGAAAGAAAATAAACTACGAGCGATAATTCGTGAGAGGACGATGTTTAATAAATGGCTTCTTTATATTTCTTTGCTTCCTGACGTAGTATCGCATAAAATATTTTTGTTCATATGCACACACACATACACACACACACATATACAAACAATCACATACATACATGCACAAACACATACAAACTTATAAGCACAGACAAAAATTCAAACAATTTACTACCAAAGATATAATAATAACATTATTTCCCATTTATCGCCTGCACTGATCCAATGATTTCTCGGCACCGATAACAACTAACTGAACATAGACAAATAAACGAAACAAAGCATTATGTAGCGCTTATTTTTGTACCCGCAGAATTTATTATTAGCAATAAAGAATTAATTAAAAATCTATGTATAGATAATGTTGTACAAAATCGATAAATATATATATATATAAACACAAAATTGTGTATATAATGAATGTGTGTGTGTGCGTGTGTATGTGTGTGTGTGTGTACATATGTATGAATGCGTGTGTGGCTATACGTATGTATGTGTGTGTGTGTGTGTGTGTGTGTGTGTGTTTGTGTGTGTCTATCTACATTTATACCTATGCGCAGCGCAACGAAAAGCCCGTACGGACTAATTAAAACAACATCGTCGTCGTCATCTTCATCATCATTATTATTATTATTATTGTTGTTATTATTATTGTTGTTTTTATTATTATTATTATATACAATAACTTCCACAACAGCAACAATAACATCAACAACAACAACAACAACACACCAACAAAACTTACAAGAACAACAATAAAGACATCATCACAACAACAAAAACAACAAAAACAACAACAATGATAATAATAATAATACCTCGATACATTAAAAAATATTTTTATTCATCTTTAACAGCCTGGCTTATCTGACGAAGGTCCAGTATATTGCCAATGTAATAACTCAAAATTACTGTTTTAAATATGAACTAGCATTACATATTTACGATAATTACTACCACTACTACTACTACTACTACTACTACTACTATTACTGCTGCTGCTACTACTACTACCACTCCTACTACCAACCATTGTTGTTGCTTCTACTACTACTACTACTGCTGCTACTACTACTACTACTACTGCTGCTGTTGTTGCTTCTACTACTACTACTACTACTACTGCTGCTGTTGTTGCTTCTTCTACTACTACTACTACTACTACTACTACTACTACTACTACTACTACTACTACTATTACTACTACTGCTACTACTACTGCCACTACTACTACTACACTATAACTACTAATACACACAGCCGGCAAATATTTTCTGCTTGTTTTCAACATATCTGGAGAAATGATGGCAAGCCAATAAACATAAAATAGCGATGAAAAGATCGGCGAAATAATTTAAGAATGAGAAAAAAAACATAAAAAAAACAACAATAACAATAACAATAACAATAGTAACAATAATAATAATAATAATGAACAAAACATAAAAAACCAGTTAGTGAACTGTTTTGCATTTGAACGAGTGAGTGAACTTCGGGCGCGCGATGAAAGCCAAACAACAACAACAACAACAACAACAACGATAAATATAATATAAATAATATAAATAATTTCAAAACATAAACATCGGAAACAAACGGAAGAGTTGTCGAATTCATCCATAATAACAAGAGCTATTTATAAGCCGCGTTTACATATTCACAATGGCTGCACACACACACACACACATATATACATATATATATATATATATATATATACACGCATGCACACACACACATACACACGCACATACACACGCATACTTACATAAAAATTTTTATAAATGCCTTCTCGTTAACAAGGTATGAATCAATAGAACGACACGAAAAGTCGGAAGTATATCTATGCTGAGCGCTTCCTGCATTTGAAGCCGGGTCCAGGGACACTGAATGAATGAATGAATGTATGAACGAATGAATGAATGAATGAATAAATGAATGAATGAATGAATGAATGAATGTATGAACGAATGAATGAATAAATGAATAAATAAATAAATGAATGAACGAATGAATGTATGAACGAATGAATGAATGAACAAACGAATGAATGAATGAATGAATGAATGAATGAATGAATGAATGAACGAATGAACGAATGAACGAATGAACGAATGAACGAATGAATGAATGAATGAATGAATGAACGAATGAACGAATGAACGGACGAACGAACGAACGAACGAACGAACGGACGAACGAATCTGAACGAATATGATAGTGTTTTAAAGTAGCAGACAAAAGTATTGCACATTGCATTAGAAGGAAACCGTACAAGTGCATATGTACCGGATATCCTTTAAAAAGTCAGTACACGTGCACTTAATCAGTACAAGTGCACTCCCTAGGTACATTTGCACTCTCATAAATACTTAGGTACTTATCCAGACTACTTCGCTAATTACTACATTTCAATAATCCTGCCCCTATGTAGACTGTTGGGTCTAAAAAATTTAATTGCTCGTCTCTGAAGACGTCCTCTCTCTATGATTTTGTCTATTCTTATACTGTTCGTTTATGCTTTATTTGTAAGTGAATGAATGAGTGAGTGAGTGAGTGAGTGGGTGAGTGAGTAGATGAATGAATTAATGGATTGATGGATGGATGGATGGATGGAAAGAGAAAATATTTGCTAGAAAAGGGAAGAGAGAGATGTATGTATGTGTGTGTGTGTGCGTGTGTGTGCGTGTGTGTGCGTGTGTGTGTGTGTGTGTGCGCGCGCGTCCATATATTCTACAAAATGTTCAACAATGAACGTTAAAAGTGAACTTAAACATATAAGATTGAAGATTGAACTGTGTGGGTGAATGTATGGATGGATGAGTTGATGAATGGATGGTTCGATTGGTCGATAAGTGGATGAATGAATTGTTTATTTGTTTATTTGTTCATTCATTCATTCATTCCGTCCGTCATTCCATTTTAAAAATCGGTAGCTGGAACAAACCATTAAAACATTTAAAGAAAATTTTTGCAACTCTTATCAACTCATAAACAACATCAGTTATGTATGTAATTTTTTAAAAAGGATGAGGACGATGGTGATGATGATGATGATGACGATGACGACAAGGATGATGATGATGATGATAATGATGACGACAAAGATGATGACGATGATGATTAAATTAGGCGCTCACAAATTAGTTACATTAACGTAACTTAAATTCATTTCAGACATCCAGCCGTTCGCCATTTTGATGGCGATGATGATGATGGTGATGACGGTGATGATGATGGTAACGATGATGAAGATGATCACAATCATCATCATCGTGTTCGTCGTCATCATCATCATCATCAGAACCACAACAATCATCGTCATCATCAGAACCACGACAATCATCATCATCATCAGAACCACGACAATCATCGTCATCATCAGAACCACAACAATCATCATCATCATCAGAACCACAACAATCATCATCAGAACCACAACAATCGTCATCATCATCAGAACCACAACAATCATCATCATTATCATAACCACAACAATCATCATCATTATCATCATCGTCGTCATCATCATCTTCACCACCACCATCATAATCATCATCCATCCATATCTTAAGAGTTGCATACTGCCTTGCACGTCTGCTGAGGTCAGGCGAAGATGGATTGAAGGAAAGAAGAAATATAAATAAAAATGAAAGAAAGTAGAAAAAGTAAAGAAGAGATAGAGAGAGAGAGAAAGAGAGAGAGGGAGAGAGAGAGAGAAAGATTATATTTACGATGAAAATCACTGCATATAGACCCAATGTTGCGGGTCATTGCATACAGTTAATATATAAGATACTTAATTGGAGGTACCTTGGTCTGTTCTGTGCAACTGTCGGTCCCCGAATCAGTGTGTGTTTGTTTCACTTTGTCTATCTTTATCATCTCCTCTCTCTTTCTTATGTTTATTTTCTCTTTTTCTCTCTTTTTTTTTCTCTCTCTTTCTCTCTTTTTCTCATTTCCAGTTTCACTATCTGTCATCCACACTTTCCACCACTCAGAGACATTAATTACAAACAGCATTGCAAGTTGCAAAAAATACAATGACAATTTTGCTATTGTACTGTCACGCACACGCACACACACACACCACACACACACCACACACACACGCACGCACGCACACACACGTCTATCTACACACACACGCACACACGCACGCACACACACACACAAAAGAAACATGTCCAATATAGATTAATTATGCACAACATGCCGAACTAATGACTAGTATCCTTGCAACTATCACTACTGTTGCTACTACAACTGCCACCACTACCACTACTACTACTATTGCTGCTACTACAACTGCTGCTACTACAACTGCCACCTAACTACTACTACTGTTGCTACTACAACTGCCACCACTACCACTACTACTACTACTGCTGCTACTACAACTGCTTCTACTACAACTGCCACTACTGCTGCTACTACAACTGCCACCACAATTACTACTACTACTGCTGTTACTACAACTGCCACCACAACCACTACTACTACTACTGCTGTTACTACAACTGCCACCACAACCACTACCACAACTGCTGCTACTACAACTGCCGCCCTACCACTACTACTGCTGCTGCTTCTACTGCTACTAGACAACTCTGCTACTCCCAACCAGCTACAATTACAATTAATACCTCCTTCTAATACAATTACGGTT